CACACGCGTTTATATGTATATTTAGTATCAGTACGATTAACGGCATTAGTATTTTTTTGTTGATCAAGCCAGGAGAATGTTCAGATCGCTGAATGATAAATACTGAGCCAATCAGGATTCCTGACCCTGATGGAGAATATGCTAGTCTTCTGGATCTATACCTAACAACCAATCCAGAAATTTACACAGTCACCGTAGGGTCTCCATTGGGATCTCCATTGGGGGACCACAAACTCATTTCAGTGTTGAGTGAATTACCGATAATACTGGGGAACAATCTAAGGCAACAGGCAACTTTCCATCGTATGTCACCCATATTTGGAATAACGCAATCGAGAAACATGGAGAATCAAAAGCTGCTGAGCTTGATATTTCTAAGGCCTTTGACCATATGTGGCATGAGGGTTTGCTGGCCAATCTTTGATGCTATGGCTTGTCGTATCATTTCTGTGTATGGCTCTTCCGCCTCCTGAAAGAACGTTTTCTGCAAGTGGCCGTCGAAGGATATCTCTCGAATACTTGCACCATCAACGCTGGTGTTCCCCAGGGATCCATATTGTGTCCAACCCTATTTTTATTGTATACCAACGACTAATTGGAAAAAACCAAGGATCCAATATATTGCTTTGCTAACGACAGCACACTTGTCTTGTCATTCCATTTGGATTCGAGGATATCGGCTACGGAGGCAGCAGGAGGTTACATATCTTAATGAGGATCTAGACGTGATTTCTTTCAAATTGGGGTAAAAGTAACCAAGTACAATTCAATGCCACAAAAACCCAGGCATCGGTTTTCTCCAGGAAGATGAATGTCTCCGAATAATGTCAGGTCAAACAATTCCACTTTCTGCTTCGATAAGTTTGTTAGGGGTTAAAATGGACACTAGTATGTCTTAGCACAATCATGTCGCTGGAATTGCAAAGGTTGTTTCTCAAAAGTTTGGAACACTGTTTCGAACCTTAAAACTATACACACCTCAGCAACTTTATAAAGCTCAGACCAGACCTTCTTTGGAGTATCGTTCTCATGTAAGGAGCTCTGCCCCCAAACATACCCTGAAGTTTCTGGATTCCATCCAGAAAAGAGTCATCCACCTGATTGGGAACGCCTTACATCACGTGCAACCTTGATATCCTGGAACATCGACGAAAGGTTGTCTCTTTTCTATAAATACTTTCACGGGAGGTGTTCAAGTTACTTGGCACATTTGATTCTACCAAGTGCGGTACGCATCAGAAATACGCGACGGACTGTGGCTGCTCATCGTTTTGAGGTTCAACTCAATATACCTCGAACTTCACTGTATAAGAACTCTTTCATCTGGAGAACTGCGTTCATGTGGAATAAAATTCCTGGTAAGGTTTTTTCAAATGGATTTAATCTTCAGCGATTCAAATCCAATGTGAATCGCTACTTTCGCACAGGCACCGCTCTGAGAACGCCTTAAGGATTTTTCTGTGCTTGTGTTTTGTCCTAAAAAATACTTTCCGAATGTTCTAAGAGATTGACTGGTCCTACTCTGATCCGTTGTTTTTTATGCAGATGATCTTGATTACGGAACCTAATTATTGCAGCAAGAATTCAAATCATGTAATAAGGATATTTTTCAGTTTCTGAAGCTAAAAAACTGAAGTTCACTACAATATGACTGAAAATATTGAAGCGTTGGATGAAAGGGTTAATCAAAATCACCACAGAAATGATGAACAATGCTCAACAAGCCAATGTTTATTCTTGTATGAATTTTGAATTAATTTAAAAAGAATCGGCCATCAAAAATTGTTTAACTTCACTGGAATCCGATTCAAATTCCATTTCAACTCCGGCCAAAGTAATGAATCCCCGTTTTTTCATTATCCTTTCATTCGGTGACCTGAGATTTTAATTCCTGCGGAAGGTTGGTTTTTCTCTGAAATATGCACACAATTTCGAAATTACGGTCAAACTGAAGATTCAATTGGGAACGTGCACGAATCCGTTATTGCCCGCCTTCAGATTCGTTCCATGCCTCTGGATGTTTTTTCAGTAAATCGGAAATGATGCAGGAATATTATTCCGTATTGGAGTCAACGACCTTTACGGATGACTGAGTACTTTGAGTCATTCTTGAAATAAGAAAACAACTTCCAAGCGGAGAATGTAAACATTCATAGTCGAAGATTAATGTACCAAATATTTTTTTTCGGATAGCAGGTTTTTATACTCGAAACTTCGTCTACAACTGCGTTAGATATTCACAGGCGATGGAGCAACAGGCACAGTAATTATCCTCACAGTGCATACTTCCACCAGTACCATACAGTAGTATGTATTATGGACAACTACAGCACTATATACAGTATGGTCAGTTAAGGTGCAACATATAGGATTTTTTTTATATTAATAGCACAACCAAAATACAAGATAGTGCCGAAAGTTGATGCATATTCGGTAATCATTTTAGGTGGACTTACAATGGTTGCAAGTCAAACAGCATACAGGGTAGGTCAAAAAATATAAAAATCGCTCATGAGTAAAGTACCCTTATTTCAGAGATTTTAGCAAAATGTTATCGGGAAAAGTTGTTTACAATTGAAAGTTATGCCTCAATACTATGACATGGCCTCCCAAGTAATTTTTTTATCAATGATTTCCCAATTTGTAATTTTTTTTTTCATAATCAGTTGAGCATAGCTTCGTTCAAATTCAAGAATATTTGTGAAAAAGGTTCTTTAAAAAAGGAATATCATGCCAATAAGCCTATGTTTATTTGCAAGTTTCAAAAACGAGACTAGGACTTACGGTTTGACTTCTGCATGAAGATTCAAGGACGAATAAAATATCAACGTGATTTCCATTTCCATGAAATTGAGTTTTTCAATTGCAAATACAGTATGTACAATACGTCTTCTTCTCAATTTCACATGCCAAATATTAGGAGAAAATGATCAATAATTCTTTTTAGTACTTGAATGAGGTTTGTCTGCTTTCTCCTGATTTGAAAAATTTTTTTTTCATTCATCAGGTTCTCTGAACCTGCTATAAATTTAATAAAAAGCTATTTTAAAGATCCTTCACAGTTTGTAGAAACTTCAAAGGGAAAATCAAGCAGTAAACTTTTTAAATTTGGAGTGCCTCAGGGATCTATACTTGTGCCCTTATTATTTTGCGTATACACTTATGATATAGTTTCTGTTTTGAGACATTGTAATTCACATATGTATGCGAATGACACACAACTATATCTATCATTTAACCCTAATGACGTTGCTACTACTAATCAAAAATTGAATGAAGATCTAGCTCGTTTTATTACAACATCTGAAGCTCATAACCTCAAAATCAATTCAATAAAAACTAATCTGCTTATTTTTGGTACTATTCGTAGCTTGGTAATACAGTAATATGCCCCACGAACGTGGCAAAAAAGTTAGGTATCGAAATGGACGTGAATTTAAGGTTTACAAAACATGTCAGAAAATGTGTTCAAAGAAGTTACATGAGTTTGAAAATGCTTTATCCTCACCGTCATTTATTAATATAATTAAATCTTTATTAGAAAAATATACATACATAATCAAATAAAAACACACACAATTTCGAATGATCTTCAATTACAGTTTTTTTATCTTCCATTCGTATATTTTCAGAAGGTATACAAGTCTCAGGTCATCTCTACACATTTTTTTTCCTATTATCACAGACATACAGGTTGCCATGAAATCGCTTTTCTATGAGTAAACGACAAAAGATTCCTAAATATGTCAAGTTTGCATACAATACATTTCAGGTAAAATGAGTGAGTGACACTTTATTTGAGAGGTCTTCCAAACTAGGTCAACCTGAACACACTGTTTGGAATATTCAAACTGAGCACTAATGAATGATATTAGCGAAAAAAACAAAATCTCCAATTGCAATATTAGAAACTCACTTAATTTAAATTATATACAAAGAGGTGGAATTAATAAATTGATAGATGTAGCCGTTACTACGTAGTAGGAGATTATCATGAAGAAATGAGAAATAGAACTTCCTGTTTTCATACCACTTGTATTTTTAACTATCGTTACTGCAGTTTCGTCGTATGAGGACATTTTCATACTAATACAGTAAAAGTTTGTTGTATTATGAGGACATTTTCAAACTAATACATTAGAAATTCAATATATTAGTTTGAAAAAGTCCTAATACAAACCAATAAAAGAAAGTTGTATTGTATGAGGACATTTTCGAAATAATATAATAACTAATACATTCAAAGTTTAATGTATTAGTTTGAAAATGTCCTAATACAAACTAATACAATAAAAGTTTATTGTATCAGTTTGAAAATATCCTCATAGGACGAAACTGCAGTAGGTTAGGTGAGGTGCAAAGTGAGTGGGTCTATTCGACTCTCCACCGCAACCCGCAAGGGTTTATTGTGGCTCACACCTATTCACACTCAATCAAATGAACCCAGCCTCATTAGTTTGTATGGTGAGTGGTTTTTCCATGTCAGATTGTAAGAGTACGGCTCTGCCGAAATCTAAAAACCTGATTCGGTCCCCAGCGGAGCAGGCACAAAGTATGCACTCTGCTGTTCCATCATTTTCCAGGCAGAGGCGACACACACTATCTTTCGACATATTCAAATGATAGTGACCTGTAAGAAGGCCTGTTAGACATCGTAGTTCATCCCTACTGTAGTCCAACAACTGTTTGGCATCAAGCTTCGAAGGGTGAATAAACGCCTTGGAGGGAGCCAATCCTGGAAGAATCTGCCAGAAGTCCATAAATCTTCTTGCCATCCAGATGTTCAATATTTGTTTGGTAAAGCCTAAAGCGATACCAATAACAGGTTCTAGTCCAATAAAGCTGCTTGCAGCACCCTCCTTTGCAAAAAAAAACTGTAGTAACGATAGTCACAAATACAAGTGGTATTAAAACATTAGAAGTTGCATTTCTCATTCTTCATGGAGCGGCCAAAATTGCAAATTTATGCCAATCCATTCTGAAAAGTGACTTCTCGTCACGTCACGTCACGTCACGTCAAAGGGTTGAATATGCATGACTTAAAACAGACAGATGCAAAATGTGTACCTTTTCTATCAATATCAACATGTCTGGGATGTCCAGGGATGACATTCTTCATATTGAGAACCCAATTTTCCCTGAAGTGCTCTTGAACTACTTTCAGTTCATAGATAACAAAATTTAAACTAACCCCACAGTCACTGTTGAACTTTCAGTTATTCAGTTCAGTCTTGAATTCTATTGAATTTAAATCGCATATTCTGTGATGGCTTGATAATCATCTGCAAAATATCATGCACCTCCTCTCTATTGCACATTTCAACCTGAAACCTATCCACAATTTTGGCAAGGGTTCCATGAAGCTGGTGCTCTGCAATTTTCCTACCGATGCACGATCTTGACCCAATTCCAAAAGGTAGGCTTGCTTGCTGGAGTGCCATATTCATCTCATGATTATTTCTAAGCCACCGATTAGGTTGAAATAGTTCCGGTTCAATGAAATATTTTTCATTTCTTCCACTGGTGTAGATCGACATCACTACTAAGGTGTTGGCCGGTATACGGTAGTTACACAACGTGACACTTTCGGGAAGAAACCTTGTAATGAATGGGGCAACAGGATAAAGCCTCAGGGTTTCTTTCACTACGTTTTTCAAGAATGGGGTTTTCTTGTTCTGGAGTAATTGGTTACGAAGTTCCTTCTGCACATTCGGATTCTTAGATAGAATGTACAGAATCCAAATCATGGTATACGCCGTAGTATCTCCAGCTCCCAATATCAGATCTACAATAATCCGATTCAAGTCATCACTCTTGATATTTTCGCTGAGCATTTTAGCCATCAAGCCATCTGAGTCTTTGTAGTTAGCGGTAATGTGATTCACTATACTATAGGCAGAATCCAAGCCCTCCTTTACCGAATTTTCGAATCGTTTCCAGTAGCCCAGCTGATATTTCTGAGCGAGTTTCGCAGATATCAGCTGGAGCTTACTCGTAGTTTCGAATATCTTAGAAACCTTCCCAGCTAACTCGTATACCAGGACGTCCAATTCCTCTTGGTGCGAAGCGTAAGTCCTCTTGCCTACTAATACCGATACTATCACGTCCATGGACCATTTGTACATTTCTTGTTCCAAGTTAGGTACCTCGATGTTCTTGAACCCTTCGAGTTTCTTGACAAGTACTTCACCAGCCGCATCGCAAGATTCTTCTAGCCAAGAGAGGCTACCCTTCAGCAACAAGCTGTTCATGATTCTTCTGAACTTTAGCCATTCTTCGCCGTCCATGAAGAAGAGGCCTCTGGTGTAGCCGTGTTTCTCGTTGTATAGAAGCCAAGATTCCGGTTTTATGTGAACCGGATATTTTCCTAGAAAAAAGTTTTGTTAATGACTTTGTTTCAATATATATATATAGGTGATTATCACAGATCCAAACAAACATGTCTATCACTCTCATCTCTCATTATACCAAAAGATGGTATTTGATACTCTAGGTCATAAAATTATTCTAAAAATAATGTAACGTAATCAAAGTGAAAATATTATACAAGGAATGAAAATCATTATTGCAAAAGATCTTATTCAGCAAAAAAGGTTTTAGCTCTCAGAGCGGTGCCTGTGCGAAAGTTGCGATTCACATTGGATTTGAATCGCTGGAGATTGAATCCATTTGGAAAACGTTCTCAGGAAGTTGAACCTCAAAACGATGAACAGCCACAGTCCATCGCATATTTCTGATATGTACCGCTCTGGGTGGAATCAAATGTTCCAAGTCCCTTTAACACCTCCTGTGAAAGTATGTATAGAAGAGAGACAAATATCCAACCTTTCTTTGATGTTCCAGGCTATCAAAGTTACATGTGATGTTCGCGTCTCCAATCTGGTGGATGGCTCTTTTCTGGATCGAATCCAGCAACTTCAGGGGATGTTTGGGGGCAGAACTCCATACGTGAGAACAATACTCCAAAAAAGGTCTGACCTGAGCTTCATAAAGCATCAAAAGTTGCTGAGGTGTGTACAGTTTTCTGGTTCGAAATAGAGCTTTTGAAAAGCAACCTTTGCAATTCCAACGACATGATTGTGCCAAGACATATTCGTGTCCATTTCAACCCCCAACAACTTATCGAAGCAGAAAGCAGACATTATTGTATCTGGTTCGAAGACATTTATCTTCTTGGAGAAAACCGATGCCTGGGTTTTTGTGGCATCGAATTGAACCTGGTTACTTTCACCCCAATTCGAAATCACTTCTAGATCCTCATTAAGATATGCAACCTCCTAGCCGATGTTCTGGAATCCAAATGGAATGACGTTTGTATTCCAAAGAAGTAACATTTCTCTTACATGAAACACTGTCATCCCCAATGGTGGACATCTGATATTTCGTAATAAGACGCTTGTCTCAAATATCCGCCACGGCTTCTTTGGATGGAGCGCATCCAAAACGTCCAATTTTTCATGGCTCTGGCGCAATAAATCAGGCTAAATTTGAACGATGGCATGGGTTATGTAGGCTTTGAGGACCGCTGTGGTTTGTGGCTCATTCGATACACCTGCGACTTAAGAAAACCCCACAAGAGAAAGTCACAGACCACTTCACATCACCTCCACGTGAGATGGCCATGCCCTCAAATTTCTCGTGCAGAATATCCAAAGTGGCATGAGCTGTGTTACACGTAGCGCCGTCCTGTTGAAAACATATGTCGTTGGTGCCCAGATCATCCAATTTTGGCCGAAAGAAATAGGTAGTCATCGACCCACAGTGCTCGCCGTTGACAGTGATGACTTGGCCGACGTCGTTTGAAAAGAAATATGGTCCGATAACTCGACCAGCCCAAAATCCACACCCAAACGGTGACTTTTTCGGGATGCATTGAATACTCTTTGATCTCCCGTGGGTTGGGCTACCTATCGGGCGCGTCCCCAGGTGGCGGATAGGGGAACGGCCAGGGGACTGGAGGCCCTGTCCGGGAAGCCAATGTGGTCTTACGGGGTCGCCGGACTCCTGGTTCGTGGCTGAAATAAGTAGGGTGAGGTGAACTAAAACTTCCCAAAAGCTTTTGCAAAACATTCCACCGTGGACAGCCTACCCAAGCTAAGCTGTAAGGAATCGTGCCAACAACTGAATGGCCGCAGAGTGATATGCGTCACGAACGATCCCCTTGGGGAACTGGGAGAAACCTCATTGTGATCAGCCTACCTCTGGTAATGCGGGGCTCTGCGAGAGGTGACCAACTCTTCCCTTGCTACTCGTGGGAACACACATGAATGAAACAACAAAACAAGAACGACAAAAACAAAAACCAATCCCGAGGCTGAACAGAAGTGCTCACCTCAATCTAAGGCGGAGGCTGTGGATGAACAGAAATGTCCAACCCTATCTACCGCTTGGAATGAGGCTGGACATAGCAGATCACCTCCAACAACAAGGTCACTTCCTGCGGCGGGCGCCAAGAGCTCCGCCTTGAATAAAGGCAAGGAACCGGCTGCCCCTGCAGGAAAGCTTCCTCACTTGTGCACCTCCACGGAGGGAACCCCCAAGAAGGTTAAATAAGCCGCGCAACGATAGTAATATCGCTGCGCCTTCCAAAACCTTCGCGGGGGCCACCGTGAGACACCTCAAGGCTCAAGGTTGTCAAAGAGAGTGTGTGTTCCTGGGAAGGACAGGATGGACGATGACCTAGAAGGACAACTTCTCGGGAGGATGTACAATGGGTCACATGTGGCCTAAGTGCTGTGACTCTACACTCACCCTCCCTCCCCTACAGATACAGATACTCTTGGATCTCTTGTGGATTGCTATCATTCCAAATTCGACAATTATATTTGTTCACGTACCCATTCATCCAGAAATGGACCTCGTCGCTGATGATGATTAGGGCCACTTGCAACTGCTCTAGAACCCAATCAGCGAACACATGTCGTTTTCTATGGTAGTTTACCTTCAGTTCCTGGATCAACTGAATTTTGTACGGGTGTAGGCCCAAGTCACAACGCAGAATTCGCCAAGTTGTGGTCTGCGAAAGGCCGAGTTCTTGTGAGTGACTGAAATCGACTGCCTCGGATTATCCTGCATACTCTCACAGACAGTGGCGATGTTTTCGGCAGATCTTGCGTTTCGTCGACATACGGGTGTTGTCCGATCGTTTAATGAACCAGTAGACTCAAATTTATTCACCACATTGCGAATAGTCCTCTCGGTATGACGATTATGTGAAACGTGAAATGGGCGAAGCACGCGGTACGTTGCCCGAACTAAACTCCCAATTTTATTATTTGCACGTGTTGTTGAATGCTATATCCGTCCACGGTGATTTTGGCAAATAGAATGAATACATGACAACTAATTTGGCAGATGTAGCTTCAACAAGATGACCGTTATCAATTGTCAGTGTTCAGAAGTCCCTGTTGGAAGACCCTATACTCAATACTATATTGTGTAGCAATCCTGTAAATGATATCTGACTCAATTCCATGATGTTTGGAATACAGACTGAATAGAGAAAAAAGTGTGTTTCGTACAATAGTACAATAATACATACAGTGCCTTCATTTCAAAACTTCCCACCCTTAGTACTTCGTTTAGCAGGGAGAATTTGCCATAGGCAAAAAAACACGTCAATTTAGATATCGAGGGGAAGTTTAAAACCAGTGCCAGTGGTATTTTAGGTTTAACCTCCTTACCCCTAGCTACCCCCACTTAATAATTTTAAATGACACCCCCTATCTTGTAACACATCATTTTAAAGATCTCAAAAATCCTCACTCAACCCTGTTTAGAAAACTGAAATTGATCCGTTCTCGTAAAATAAGGCAAAAAGAAGAAAATCAATTACATTAAAAAATAAAATAATAGCTATTGCAATTAAATAAATGTACCTTATTTTATTAGGTGTTCAAAATGTTCACCATTGGTAGCTAAGCAAAGGTACAATCTATTCTCGAATTCCTGTCGTTATTAATTTGTCTGCATGTGTCAGTAATCCTGTGTCTTAGATCCTGAATGTCCTGCGGGGGAGTTTTGGAGAGAAAGAAATCCAATGGCGTTAAAACCGGAGATCTCGCGGGCCATTCCAGAGCGCTTCTTCTGCCAATCCATTTGTCAGGATACCGTTGATCGAGCCACTGTCAGACATGCAATGCGTAGTGTGGCGGTGCGCCGTCCTGTTGAAAATTTTGTTCATCCAAGATCGGGTTGTCTTCTTCATCAACTTGGAGTTCTGAGAACTGTGTTATGAGTGGATCGATTACATTTTCCATCAAGTTTAAATACAATTGACCAGTTAAATTTTCTTCAATAAAAATAGGGCCAATTATTTCGTTTCCCAAAATTCCAGCCCAGACGTTTATTTTTTGTGGATGCTACAGTTATGCTTATTTACAAAGCCATTAGGAAAAAAAAATTGATTCATCACTGAAGCAAATATTTTTTATTAAATTCGGATCATTTTGAATTCTCGCAGTCATTATTTCACAAAATTCAATCCTATCATAGTCATCCTCACTGAGTTGCTGAAGAATACTCATTTTATAAGGAAAGAACTTGTTTAGTTTTAAAACTTTGTGTATAGAACCAACTGAAATATTCACTAACTTAGCGACTTTCGAAATTCAAGTAGTAGGCTCAACGGCGAATTGGCCTAAAATCTCAATATGTGCGGCTTCCGTAAAAACTCCCGGCTGCTTTACTGCTTTGTTGTACACAGAACCGGTCTCTTCAAATTTTTGAACAAGGTCTAGAACATATCGGTGACTCACATTTTGGCCTGCATGCCTTTCATTACACCATTACGATTTGTATTACTGTCAGTGCAACTGACACCACTTGACAAAGAGTTTAAAATCAGGAATAACTAATTCTGATAAATGTTTTCACCATTTAATTGTAACTGACGCCAAGAAGCAACTGTGTGCACTTATCTCACTTTCAGCTAAAGCAAAAAACTCTGTGTAAAAAAGAGACATAAACATACCGTTATTGAGTCAGTGGTAGCGGTTCCATAAATTTTTGCAATTTGTTATAATTTATTTTCTTTTTGCCCTATTTTACGAGAACGTATCAACAAATTTCAGTTTTTTAAACTGGGGATTTTTAAGATCTTCAAAATGATGTGTTTGTTACAAGATAGGGGTGCCATTTAAAATTATTGAGTGGGGGTAGCTAGGGGTAAGGAGGTTAAACCTAAAATACCACTGGCACTGGTTTTAAACTTCCCCCTCGATATCTAAATTGACGTGTTTTTGCCTACGGCAAATTCTCCCTGCTAAACGAAGTACTAGGGGAGGGAAGTTTTGAAATGAAGGCACTGTGTAAAAGTAATTGTTTCGAAAGTATTTTTATTCGTGTAATTCAATATTTATATGAAATTAGTTGTTTTGAAAGGACTTATTCATCCAGTTTGTGTCTGAAAGTTACTTCTCTGTATGATCCACACATCTTTGTATAGAGTTAATTTTTCAAAATTGACTGCTTTCTTCTTTTGGAAAAAACCCACATTTTTTGTATAAAGATGGAAAAGTAGAAGACCAAGACCTTTCTTTTCCAAAAATTGATATCTTCTTAGAATATACCCCTGTCAATTTAAATATAAGTTAAAAATACTATTTATTTTATTTCAACAATTGCCCTAGTCTACAGAATGAACGTCCGACACTGGCAAGCCTTTACCATAGACACAAAGTGATACTACAAGCCAGAAGAAGGTGCGTTGTAATGGTTTCCGCATAACCTTGAACTCTTTAAAATTCTATTCACCTTGTGTGTTACGTCTCTGATTAAATGCGGTCCTAGATTACTCATAAACTCGTACACTCAATTTGTGAGGAACAAATGAAAATGAATGAAATTCACAAAAAATCAGCCGGTACATTTCTATTTTTAGACCAAAATCAACAATTTCGTGACAAGTGGTGTATACAGTCTGAGGATAAATAGATCAAATGCATTACTTCGGAAACAATGTAATTTTGACAGAAATCTCAAAGTAGGTCGATACATATATTTGAATGCTGATATTTTTACGTTCAGTGTTTGCCAATAGTAGCGAAACAGTGATATTTATCCGTTGTGTACGGTTTTTTCCAAATTTGGAATGTATGAGTGTACAGTAATGAGAAAAATATAACACACCTTGCATTTCTTCATGTTCTATCAGTTCTTCGACAATTAATATTTAACTTTCTTCAGAGATGGCAACGTACTCAAAACCCAGAATATTTTTTTTTGGAATTTTTCAGTTAAAAATGTAATTTGTTTGTGAACATTTGTCTTGAACAAATGGCTGAAAAGTATTTTGATTGACTTCCGGGTTTTGCCGTGGTTTTCTTTGGCTATAACCTCCAAACGTTTCACTTGCAACTGCGGCAGTCATCTTCTGTGGCGTGATCGAAGGACTCTTCTGGACGTGTCAATTGATCTAATTTATACAATTTTTTTATATTCCTAAATAAATTCCAATGTAAAAATAAAATTTCTACAAATATTTGTCGGCACTGGTAACAGGTGAATTATTAATCAGACGGACTCAGCGTTTATCAATAACCAAATTTATTAACAACAAAACACAACGACAAACAAAACACGAAAAATAAAATTACAGGGTAACCTCGAGGAACTAACGCCAAGTCTTTTCTAGAGGAGACTCTAGAGCGGGTTCAGTTCTCTGCGAAAACCCCAGAATAAGAAATAGTTTCCGACCGAAATCCCAGAACAGAATGAATGCCTCGGCTAAAAAATGTGTTCGAAGTAACTCTCGAAAAATCATCACTGACAATGGCCGGGGTCATAAATATTTTTTTGTTAATAAAGTTTGTGAAGATAAAATTGTTTCGGGTGTAGTTTGTGAAAATAGCTTAAAAAAAACGTATTACAACTTAAATCAGAAAGCTATGTTGAAACTACTGGAAATAAGTATTAATTAACACTTTCCTAAACATAGAATTAATATCATTCTCTGAGAAACGAAAAAATTGCAAAAAACTATTGCAGCTTCACAAGAGATGTTCAGCCGACTCAAATAGGATTGAAAAATTAGAAAATAATTAAAAAAAACTCGTTTTGAATTAGCATAAGAAGAATTGAACGAAGGATAGACAAAATCAATAACTGAGTTCAACACTCAATGACACAAAAAAGAAGATGAAAATCCAACAGTCCACCGCATGAAAAGATTAGATTTTTCAAATATTTGTTTAGTCATTTTCAGTGAAATATTTCAAGAAATTGGTATCAAAACCATTTTTGCGCCATAATAATAATCTTGACCCTATATCTTTAAAAATTAACTAACCTTCTTTTGAAAAAACATGCCTCATCCCTTCCGGATCTGCCAGAAAAACACAAGAAACGGGTCCGACATTATCCTTAAAAATCAACCCGAGTTCTTTGTGCCTCCTATCGACGTACTTGTGGAGATTTTTCGCACCCCCTGCAGCCAGCAAAGAAAGGGTTGTTCCGATTAAGGGCAGCCGTTTCGGAGACGGAATATCTTCGAATTCCAACGCACCACTAGAACTAGCACATCTGACTCGAAACTTACAGAAGAATGGTCTAACCTGTCGGCTTAACATCTTTTTCAGTTATGTGGAATATTCTTCGGTCACAGGCGATCGATCACTTTCTAACGGGATGCATTCGTTAAAGTAGGTACTGAAAGGGCTAACAGGGTGCTAGCGAACTAGACAGGGGACTAGGAGATGTTTGAAATATTACTGTTGGGTACTGTTTCCGAGGTCATGCAACCTCATCGTGCTCGGGTATTATGAACTTATACTATTTGTAGTGTTTAATTAGTCCCGACTTTTGTTTGTTCATGCGCGCTGTTCAAATTATAAAAAGTCGACGCACAGATACCAACGGAATGAACAACACGCGTCGAGATTTAGTTACGGATACTGCGTTATCGTAATTATTTGATATTAACTCAGTGGCGTACCGTTTCATTCACATTCGACTGTAAACCAGTAGTATAGTTCGATTCAAAAATGTATTTTTACATGATTGTACATGATACCTCAATGCATGAAAACGATGAAAGATTGAAGGCAAGGACGCCAAAAACGATAATCTGCATCAAACTGATAAAATGATGAAAAAATTGAATGTAAGACCACCAAAACGGAGTTTTCCAGCAGATATTTCCTTCAAACCCATTAAATATCGCTTTATTGGACTAATAAGTAAGCTTTTGTTGAATATGGGAATCTGTTTAATAATATTTTAGATGTTGTGTTGTCCAATGACCTAATTACTCTCTTCAAATCGTATTTTCACAACCATAAGCAGTACGTCCAACTCAATGGCCTGTCAAATATGTAGCCATATCTGATGTACCACAAGGATCAAACCCAAGACCCCTACTCTTCAATATGTTCGTTAATGACATCGGAGCTGAGATTGATGTTAATTTCATTTTATACGCAGATGACTCAAAACTCTATCTTAATATAACATGTTCTAATGATTGCGAACGTCTTGCCCTGAATTTGAATCGTGTTGCTACATGATGTCGGAAGAATATAATCTATATTTGACATTACACAACTACGTCATAAACAATCAAGTTCTGGAGCGTCCTGACACACTCACTGATCTACCCACACAGCACCAGATATTCATGGAATATTCCCTGTATATCATAAAACGAACGTATATATTCCAAATTCTAAAATAAATGCTATTTATTTGAGCCTATAGAACTCCATATTTTGAATCCAACGTACTTTGGTGTTCTGTAGATTGCCGATATGTTATTTTCAACACTACTGAAACACTACCATTATTTTCATGTTTCAGACTTGGGTTTAGGTTTATTATTGCAAAATAAAAATGTATAGAAGTATTATACATGACTATCTCCTGAATCAAATAAATACTACTACTGCTACTAGTACTTAAGGTCTTGAATCAGCGTTTTGGAACTTAGCAATGACTTTATCGATGTTAATTTTTAATCCTCGAAAAAGTTATGTATTATGTATTCAACATATTTATCGGCATACCTAACAACTGTTGACTGTCAGTGTCAAAATCGGTATAATTTTCTTATAAATAACAACCCAAACTGCGAGTCATCACATAAATTAAAAGTGCTGGTTAACGTAGAATTTGTGGCTCCGGGTCCGCTTTAATTTCATTAAATTTCCAAAGTATCAATATCCGAACAGGTGTTCCCTCCGGAAACGTTTGCGGGGGAGGAGAGGATGTCAGTATTTGTAAGTATTCAAATGAAGTGTCTGCCCTGGCAGCTGATATTCTCTTTCGTTTAGACAGGTGACAATTGAATATTGTTCTAATGCACGGGCAGAAAGATGGGCAATCATTCTTCTTGGAAGTGTAACCGAAACCGGGAATGTGCAGCTTATCAGTTGTATAAACTAATTAGCACACGTTATTGAATGAGAAAACAATATTTCAAACCGAGTGTCCCAACAGCTGACTTTGGCTTGTTCCTCATTCTGTTTTGTTCTGATATGGTCCGTTCGTATTAGTCAAAATTAGGTAAATATCTCGGAATTTGATATATCCAGCTATGTGATCAAAAACTTTAGTACTGAAGATGTTTATCATACCCTAAAAAAGTTAAAGCCCAAATTTGCTGCGAGACCTGTTCCTGCTGAGGCACATCATTAAAGATCGTGCCTCAGCTCTGGTTAAACCAATAACAACTGTGATCAATATAAGCCTGAAAACATCAACTGTACCATCAATATGGAAAATGTTGAAAGTCTGCCCAATTTTCAAAAAAGGGGATAAAAGTGAGATGAAATATTACAGACCAATTTCTATCATATGCAACTTTTGTAAAGTGTTTGAGATGATTCTTCAGAAGACAATCTAATGTAATGTTAGCAACATTATCAGCCCAAATCAACACGGTTTCATAAAAAGACTCAATCATCACCAATCTTGTAACTATCACTCAAAGTATTGCGGAGGGTATTGATTGTCACTCTGAGACTGATGTAATCTACACTGATTTTTATAAAGCGTTCGACAGACTTGACCATAGTATTCTGCCCAACTAGCTCTCTTCAAACCGTATTTTCACATCCATGAGAAGTACGTCCAACTCAATGGCGTCAAGTCTGTCGACTATGTAGCAACATCTGGTGTACCACAAGGATCAAACCTAGGACCCCTACTGTTCAATATGTTCATTAATGATATAGGAGCTGATATTGATNAGATATTCTAAGAATATTATAAGATATTCCAAGAATATTCCCAAGGAATATTCTTAAAATATATCAAAGGTTCGCCAGGAGCACTTCCAGGGAATATTCTACAGAAGATATATATATATCCATGGCATATTCATAGCATAATACAATATCCTTAAATGTATATTCATGAAATATACCTGGAATATCTGTTGCTATGTGGGTAGGTGATACTTTTGATTCATTCCCCTCTTTCAATAAACATATTGACACTACTCTGACAGCTGCTTATCGCATGTATGGATTCTAAGTTAGAAATACAAAAAACTTCGAAAAAGCTTCAACTTAGAAATTACTTTATTTCACTTTTGTTCAATCTAGGCTGAAATATGCATCTGTTGTGTGGAGTCCCTACATACAAATCAATCATACAAATCAACTAGAAGCCCTACAGAGGCGCTTTTAAACTTGAAGGCACGTATCCTACTATTATGAATTGCTTGAAACTCACAATTTTTATGGTCTCGAGGTAAGGTGTAAATATTATTCATTTGTTTTTTTATTCAAGGTCATAAACAATATCATTACCTGCTCTCAATTGTTACATTTGTTGAATTTTTGGGTTCCTAGTAGGTCATCTAGGAATAGTGTCATATTTTATCTCAGCACTCCGCGTACAAATATAATGAAAAAATCTCCAATTTATACAATGTGCGATACCTCTAATTCTGTCCTAGATATAATCATCTGCCAGATTATACAAATCAAAAGGCATTTCTTAGCTGACTGACAGTTCTGTTTTCATTTTTTTTATATAGATTCACAAATTATTCACATTTTTAAATGCCACTGTTTCTCATTATTGTGTAATTGGGTTCATCCTGTAGAATAGTGTATGAAATAAATAAATAAAAATGTTTCTTCCCAACAATGATAAAACTAACAGCTATTATATTAAACTGATAGGTGTTATAGCTATGAAATCAACATTTAGTCGTCAATATTCTTGACGTAATCAAATATGTTTGTATCCTAATATAAAAACTATCCATGAATGCTTCTACAACAATTCACAGGTTTGATTTGATATTATGATCAGAGCAGTAACTGGACCATAACTCTACTAAGACAATTCAAATGAATATATAAATTAAATAAAACTCACCAATACCATGAACAGATAGTTTAGGTGTTGTTACAGTTTCTGGTCTTCCACAAGCTGCATTTTTATTAAAACTCACAGTTTCAGATGATCTTGTATGTAGCGTTCTAAATATTTTAGCAAATCTTTCTTCTCAGCTGTGATATTGGAAGCGGCTAACTGAGTTTGCAAGTTGTATCCCTGCAATTGGTTTGGATTTACAACACTATTCGGGTGGAGTAAGCGATTATGATATTTTTCGCATTTCTGCAGACCACAACGTCTTCGATTTTTACATTTGAAAGTACGATGAGACGAATTGAGGCAAGAAAAGCAAACTTTCTGTTCTTTCACCCATTCCCATCTCTTATCAGTGTCGAGACGCAGGAAATGGTCGCATTTGTATATGGAATGAGTAGATTTAGAGCAAAATCGGCAGTACTTTTCCATTGATGAGTTTTCTGTTCCAATGAAAACGTTCGTTTCATTTTTCTTGTCCATATATTCAAAAACAAAACTTACAACAACAATGGTAACTATATAAAACAATAAATAATCTCAACTTCAATACTAGATGTGAAATTAATTCACAACACTAAATATTTTAGCAAATGGAATTACTCTGTTGTGATATCTGTCCTGCTAATCCATAAATGAGGTGCATGTCAGCCATTTCAGCATTAGTAAAATTATTCATGATGGAATCACTGCTAATTGACAACTCTGACTTTCACTGATATGACAACACTATCACTGTCAGCTGGTCTCCAAAGCAGGTGACAATATATGCAAGGTGCTTTCACTTTTTTTTCTCGAAAACGAAGCTAAATATGAAGAAAACACAAGCGACGAGAAAGTTGTATATTTAGTTGATTAATGTAGAAAATTAAAAACTACAAGTTAGTGGCGTACTTTTTTCCCAATATTGTTGGCTGTGGTGGCTACTGAGACTCCACTGGATCTAATAATTTCAATCTAGTTAGGACCAAATTAGCGCCTTATTACTTCAAATAACTTTAGCCAATTTCAATCAGATCGGTGTTATGATATTTTATATATATACCGTTTTTTTTTAACTTCAACACCCTGTATCTAAGAAACGGAGCAACTCCGGATATATGTTTATAGGAACTTTTTTACTTAAAACGACCTAACAAATCACCATCTTAAGTTTCGTACCGTAGTTAGGGAACACCTTGTATATAATATTCAGATATCTCAAATCGAAACTCATTGACATTTTTAAGTCGAATAAAAACATTATTCTGAATATCAACAATTGTATTGAAATCGAAAAAATCGAAAAAAATAATCGGCGTACTGTAAATGCATCTTGCATCGAGTGACTCAGGTGCCGGCTCTGTGGATCATGTCAAGGCACGATAGATTTTTACAATCAACTCCTATTGTTGCCTTTAATAATTATACTTTCAAACAAACGTTCCTATTGAAATTTCTCATTACGTTTTCGAGGTGAGCATTTTTTTTTCTATCTAGACGCTGAATAGCTCTAACATAACGATTACTTCCTATATTGAAATCTAACCCCAATTTCAACAAAAACATTTAATTACTTTCATCTCCACTGCATTTGTTACCTTTCAATTTAAATCCATACACCAGTTTAATTTAATCAAAATATTTAGTCAACAAATATCAATTTCCCATTGAAAGGCTACTAACCCTACTAATTAATCTTCAGAATTGCATGTTTTGCAGATGCCTTAGTCGGTGTAGTATCCTTAAATGTCCGAAACTTTGAAATTTGCACATTTGAATGTAATATACTATCAGTACTTGTCGAAGGACGCCACATTTTAAACAGATAACAAAAATTTTAAGTAATTATAAGTGCACTAATATCGAATTTCCACACTCAAATCGCGATCAGTTGCTGAACTGAACACGACGGCGATAACCATCGCTGCATTCCCCGATTTCTACTCATCACCGTAATATGACTTCAAATTCAATTTTATGACTCTTCAGCCAATCATAAAACTCGGTTAGTAAAAATTATCCAATACGAACCACCAATTCTGCAGTCCACGTGAACTATTTCGCAGCTGGTTTAAGTGTGCACAATATCGTTTACTTCAACTACAACAGCTTTTTCAACACACTGTGTCATCTTCTGAGTGAGTTATAACTCTTCTGAGCGAGTTATAACAGTTTATAACTCGCTCATAAGATAACACAGTGTTTCGAAACAGATGTTAGCATTAACTGTTAATGTTGTGTAAATTGTGAAGTATTATTTCCACCGCATCCATTCAACTAAAGTGAAGCCGAAACTGTAGAACACAATTGTTATTTTGTGTCTTAGTCTTCTATGATGGCTTCAAAGTTTTCATTCAAAGACATTTCCTTAAAGATATTGAAATATTCCAAGGTAACTTTACTTTTATTGTCATATCATTCATTTTTTAAGTATTCGTTATAAGTTATAAACCTTTGAAAAGAATGAAAAACTTTTGGAATAAATTTTAAATGAACATGAAAATCAATGAATAAAACAAAATATAAATCATATTGAAGGTTTCATCTCAATAACACTTCATGTCTGATTGTCCTGTATACAAAAGTGGTGAAAGAGAGAATTACAGACCCATTACAGAGAGAATTAGACTCTATTTCATGTATATTTTCTAAAATTTTTGAGATTCTGTTTAAATCTGTTTAAAATCTGTTTTTCCGTTAATCAGCTGCCGCCCCCATACTCTCAGAAGTTGAGAAACTTGGGCGAGCTAAGGACTAACGAGGTCTTACCTTTTAACGTGTGATTCCTAACACATTATTTCATATAATCGCATATATGCTTTTGTTCAACGGCAACTATCTCAACATCAACACGAATTTGTTACTAAGCATTCTACTGTTACAAATCTAGTCATTATTACTCAATTTATATCCGAGGAATTAGATAACAATGGCCAAGTTGATATTATATTGATATTGATATTATTACCTCTCAGAGCAAGAACTAACATTATGCTCAATTCCCCAATATATGTTATGTGCACAAATTTCAATAGCATTTGTGTCCATGGTGATTTATTCTTCACTAACCTGTACTTGAAGTAGGTAATTAGTTAGTTTTTCTTTTTTATTCTTTTTATTTTTCGTTTATGGTTAAGTATTGTGAATAAAATTTTATATTGTCCTGTAAATGGGTAACTGTTGGACAATAAAGCTATTATTATAACACTGAATGTTTTTTTCACCATATCACAGAATAAGTATTTTTATAGTTTCACTAAACTTCAGTTACTTCAGTTGGATATAAAAACTATATCCAGAAGGTGTGTGTTTCAAAACCTAAAAAAGTTAATTGGAAAACTTTCTAAAATTTGTTTTCTTTTCAGGAGAGCTTCTTGCCGATGATAGTGATCAGGTGCGAGTGGTGGCAATAAAAGTTTTAAAAGATACAGCCAACAAAGAAGCCGAGGAAGATTTTCTTCGGGAAGTCGAAATAATGAGCGCTTTCAGGCATCCCAATATTCTTTCTTTGCTCGGAGTAGTCCTCAAAGGTAATTAAGTATAATACACTCTCATGAAAGTACTGTGAAGTTACTGTTTCCGTTTCGTCAGAAACATACTTTCTGAATTCTTTGAAAGTGGTTATTTGTTAACTACCGAATTCTGATCGGATTTCAATTTTCGAAAAGGGAACATTATCAATCATTAGAACTGAAGAACTGTTATAGGCGATGGAATTGTTCGATATTTGATGAAAATCTATAACTTATTTACGAAAAAACAATTGATTGTGAGATGTTTATAGTTTACAAAACCGCAAGTACGTGTTTCGCTATACAATAGCTTTTTGAAGCGTTTTCATACGCTTGTATAAGGTCTTACAGCAGAGACATCCAAACTTTGACGATTGATAACAGCCATCTGGTTGAAGCTTCATCTGTTAAATTGGTTGTCATTTATTCAGTCTGTTTTGCTAAAGGTGCGTATTCACCAAAAAAGCGAGCACGAGCGAACAAGAGCAAACAAGAGTGAACGAGCCTTCTGCATCAATAACCGTCTGGTGAGTACGGGCTAGCGAGCGAGCGAACGTATGTTTGTTCGCGTTCAGAAAAGATTGAAAAGAAGCCGGTACATCAAAAGTTGCTCGCACAAACTAGATGGATCAACTACGACCACGAACTTGAAGATATTCGCTCTGGTGTGGACGAGACATCAATATGTCGAGCAAACACGAGCGAACATGAGCGAACACGAGCAAACATACAAGAATGCTCGCTCATGCTCGCTCGTGCTCTCTTTTTTTGGTGAATACGCACCTCAAATAGACCATGGACGAATACAGCATTCCACAACACGTGCAAATAATAAAATTGGGTGTTCAGTTCGGGCAACGTACCGCGTGCTTCGCCCATTTTACGTTTCCCATAATCGTCATACCGAGAGGACTATTCACAATGTGGTGAATAAATTTGAGTCCACTGGTTCATTAAACGATCGGACAACACCCGTACGTCGACGAAACGCAAGATCTGCCTAAACATCGCCGCTGCCTGTGACAGTGTGCAGGACAATCCGAGGCAGTTGATATCGCGTCGCTCACAATATGTGTCTTCAGCAAACCACAACTTTGCGAATTTTGCGCAGTGACTTTTTTCAAGGATAAAACACAAGTACTACAGGAAACTTCTTAAGGCGCTCTCAGAGCGGTGTCTGTGCTCGACGGGAAAATCCTTAAAGCACTCTTAGCGCGGTGCCTGTGAGAAAATAGTGATTCACACTGGATTTGAATAGCAGAGGATAAAATCCATTTGTAAAAACGTTCCCAGGAAGTCCATTCCACATAAACGCCGTTCTCCAAATGGAAGAGTTCTTAAACAGTGAAGTTCGTGGTGTACTGAGTTGAACCTCATAACGATGAGCAGCCACAGTCCGTCGCATATTTCTGATATGTACCGCTCTTGGTGGAATCAAATATGCCAAGTCACTTGAACACTTCCCGTGAAAGTATATATAAAAGAGAGACAAATCTCCAACCTATCTTCGATGTTCCAGACTATTGTTGTTGACGTGATAAAACATTTCACACTTTCTNTAAATATTATATATATATATCGTAATACCGCTGTGAGAATCACATCACAAGCTTGCTTAGGTGACTCACAGTGGTTTATTACCTCTTTCTTCTTTTTTCCCCTTTTTGTAAAATTTTGTAAAATTTTCTCTGTAAAATAAATTCTCTGTAATTCTCTGTAATTAAGGCTGCACGTGGTGTTCGCGTCTCCAATCAGGCAGATGGCTCTTTCTGGATGGAATCCAACAACTTCAGGGTATGTTTGGGGTCTGATCTGAGCTTTATAAAGCATCAAAAGTTGCTAAGGTGTGTATAGTTTCCTGGTTTGGAACAGTATTCCAAGCTTTTGAGAAGCAGTCTTTCCAATTCTAGCGGCATGGTTGTGCCAAGACGTATTAGTGTCCTTTTTAACCCCCAACAAACTTATCGAAGTAAAAAACGGAAGTGTCTGCCCTAACATTATTATATCAGTTTCGGAAACATTTATATTTTTGGAGAAAACCAATGCCTGGGTTTTTGTGGCATTAAATTGAACATGGTTACTTTCACCCCAATTCGAAATCACTTCTAGATCCTCATTAAGATATGCAATCTCCTGCTGCCGGTGAAGATGTGCCTCCGTAGCCGATGTCCTAGAATCGAAATGTAATGACGAGACAAGTGTGCTGTCGTCAGCAAAGCAACATATTGGATTCTTGGTTTTTTCCAGTAAGTCGTTGATATACAATAAAAAGAGGGTTGGAGACAATATGAATCCCTGGGGAAGACCAGCGTTGATGGTGAAAGTATTCGAGAGATATCCATCAAAGGTCACTTGCAGAGAACGTTCTTTCAGGAAACTGAAAAACCATACACAAAAATGATTCGATAAGCCATAGCATCGAAGTTTGGCCAGCAAAACCCTCATGCCACACACGGTCAAGGGCCTTAGAAATATCAAGCGCAACAGTTCTTGATTCTCCATTTCTCGATTGCGTTATTCCAAATATGGGTGACATACGATAGAAGGTCGCCTGTTGATCTTTGTTTCCGAAAGCCATATTGATGATCACTCAAGATATTGAAGTCTTCCAAATATTTGAGGATAAGGTGGTTAGCGACTTTCTCCATGATTTTTGATATCACTGATAGCAAAGCGACTGCTCTATAGTTATTTGGAACATTTTTCTTGCTCGAAAACGCGAGCAATCGTCCAACAAGAAGGAAAAACTCCTTTCTTGTAAGACAGGTTGAAAACTCTGCAAAATACTAGTGCGAGTTCATTTGCGCACTTTTTAAGTACGATGACGGGCACTTCATCAGGGACTGACGCCTTGTTGATATTGAGCTGTTTCAAAACTCGCCTGCAAGACGTTGTCGAAAAGAAATCTTCGGTATTGTAGATTCGAGTGTGGAAATAGTGGGTGTTGCTTTTTCCAGAAAATCGACTGTACAATGGGACGTACATTGTTCAGCTAGTAGAGTTGCTTTTTCTATGGCTGTTGGACTTTATTTTGAACAAATACAACGGTCAAGCAAAGTAACAAGAATGCATGATTATTAAATTAACAATAATTTATAAGTTTGGTTGTGTCGACTTGGCATGTAGTCGCGTCTGGAACAGCGGATGTAACTCTATCTCTGAGTGATAGAGTGGGAAGCAAATTGTTCAGCTAGTAGATTTGCTTTTTTATGGATGTTGTTGCTATTGAACCATCCGCTTATGTTAGTGGTGAACTTGTGTATTTTGTAACGTTTTGGTTAACAGCTTCAGCTACCGACCATATGAATCTAGACCCGTTGGGATTGTCAAGAAGTTTATCCCTAATTCTCTGATTGTGAAGTTCTTTGCCTTCATTTATCCTAAGTTTACAGCTGTTGCGAGCATTACAAACCTAGTTCGGTTTTCAGCAATGGGATTTGTACCCCACTGCCGGTAGACGAGATTTTTGGAGGCGACAGCTTGCTCGTAATTTTTGTTGAACCAAGGTTTGCCATGAGAAATTTCGAAAATAGTCTTGAAGATCCTCTGAAGATGTTCTGTAATGCCAAACTTTGCGCGGCTTACATAGTTTCCCAACATTTATCCGTAATTCACTCAGCACTGAAGTGATGGGTATTTCAAACGAATAAAAAAATTCGATAATATCTCACACACAACTCTCCCAAATATGATTTTTTCGTTGAAACAGATAAAGAGTGTTTTCAAATATTGAACTTATATTGCCAAATAATATTATCCTAATATTAATAGATATTTATTTTCTGGGTAACATATTTTTTCAATGTTATTTCAGATTAATATTATTAAAGCAATATCGCTGAATGTCCACAATTTCCATTGGCCAATATAATATTCAGCCAATATGTTTGTATTATTGAATTGATATTGACCAAATATATCTGTGCTGCGTGAGAATTATTTGAATTATATGAATGATTTTTTATTAGCCCATATTATATACACACATCGGAAAAGTCTAGGGATATTTTTATAACATACTAATTGATACATGACATTTAGTATTATCATAAAAATAAATGCATGAGGTCGTTTAATTTTGATTAAATTGGTACATTCGACCACCCTGTAGATTTCTATGGGTTGAACAAAGCCTGCAAAAACGGTAACTAATCTTTTATCACGTTTTTTACAAACTGTAGGTTTTCGGCTGAAATGAATAATCTGAAAGTGTCGAGTTTGTATATTCTATGCAGTTCTTGCTCAGCAATTAAACTGGAAATATTGTGCTTTAACATGGAACGCCATCACTTACCATTGGCTGAGATGAATAGAGCTGTAGGGCTTCTTCAAGGTGGCATGCGACAAAATGATGTAGCTCTTCGTTTGGGGGTCTCCAAAGTGTTATCAGTCGATTGTGGCGGCGTTTCCATGAAACTGGCAGTCTAGCCGAACAACATCCAGGGCGAGGACGCGCTACAACTGCAGTTCAAGACCGATTTTTGGTCTTAACCGCAAGAAGACAACCGACAATCACAGCACCTGAGTTGGTTAACGTGTTGCAGCAGACGCACCAGGTAACCATTGGTCGTGATACTGTCAGAAATCGACTGCATGAAGCAGATCTCCACAACAGAAGGCCACTCAGATGTCCACCTTTGTCGAGAGGCAATCGCGGTAGAAGATTAGAGTGGTGTCAAGAACATCAAAACTGGGATGCAAATGATTGGGCCACAGTTTTGTTTACAGACGAATCCAGATTTGGATTTCATCCAGATTCTCGTCGAGTAAGACTGTGGAGACGACCTGGAAATAATGAACGTTTGAGACACGTCCAGGAAGTCCACACATAGAGAGGTGGTACAGTAATGCTATGGGGCGGAATCATGATCGGCGGCAGAACCGATCTCGTTTTTCCAAATCGCTCCCTCACAGCTCGACAATACCTCGACAACATTCTTCTATCTATCGTCCGTCCGTTTGCTGGTGCTGTTGGTGAAAACTTCCATCTAATGCACGATAATGCTCGTCCACATGTCGCACGTCTAGTGACTGACTGGCTCACCAACGAAGGAGTTGATGTATTGCCATGGCCAGCACAATCACCGGACCTGAATCCCATCGAGCATGTGTTGGACATGCTTCAACGAAGAATTACTCCGCATATGGGGAACATTCACACAACGTTTCAATTGAGAGAGCTTTTAATCGCTGAATGGGCAAATGTACCTCAACAAGACATTGACAATCTCATTTTGTCGATGCACGATAGATGTAGGGCCGTAATAAACCAGCGTGGAGACCATACTTTGTACTGATTCCAATATTTTTTGTATTATGATTTTTTTTCGGGGTGCCAAAGAAGAGCCATATTTTTTTTTACTTTTGCTTATATGCGCACTCAGTATTTTTGACCATTTAATAAATTTTGTCGTAAGTTACATTCGTTAAATAATCACCCGTCAACTTTTTTTCCCTAAAGCGATCTAAAAAAAAAATATTTCCATTTTTAAAAATATCCCTAGACGTTTCCGATGTGTGTATTTTGAATACTCAATTGTGAAACACTGTATTTTAGTAGTAAGCACAATGACTTTTCAAAATAGCTCAAGTGTTAATATGAACGTACATCAATCATTTTCACATTTCTAGACGAAAATGTGAATCCCATGATGGTGTTCGAGTTCATGCCTCACGGTGATTTGGCAGAGCTGTTACGTTTCCAAAGAAGAACTTTCAGCTGTGAGAAGGAGGCTCCTCAATTGACGAAGAAGGATCTCCTCTCAATAGCCCTTCAAATCGCGAGGGGAATGAAATACCTAGCTTCGCAGAGATTCGTCCACAGAGATCTGGCTTGCAGAAATTGTCTAGTAGCGGAAGGACCGGTAGTCAAAATAGCCGACTTTGGAATGAGCAGAGATGTCTATACTTGTGACTACTACAAGGTGAGATCGATTATAATCCACAAATTTGTTCAATACCTCAAAAACTTAGCAATTAATCGACCACGGTCTACCAGCCCGAATTTCGGTCTCTTTGAAAGTGGCTACGGTCGTGTTCTTATGGGGTCTTTTTCTCTTATGTGTTCAACGAGAACTGCTGCATCTTTTGCATCTCATCCATGTTCAGGCAACCTGTTTGTCACGTAACCTCTCTTTTGTCCTACATAACATTTTGACCAATCCTTGCATTCGATTTTATAAATTACATTTGATTGTATATTTATCGGAGTTTTTTCTGTTTCGAAAAAATATTTTTTCCCAGAGTTGACATTTGCAAACGCAGTTTTGATATGTTCATTATTTAGAACTGATCCAAGTTTTTCAAGACACATCAGGAATAGAATAGGTAACCCCAAAGGAGTAAAGTATTATATTAAGGTCCTTCTGACACTTTTTCGACCTTCTGGTCATTGACAATCTACACCAACAGGGTTACTCTAGATGTTACGTCATTCCACTGTGTTTTCACCTCCTCAAAAGTGCATTGAGGTACTTTCAACACCCCTCTTCGTCGACGTTGACGACTACCCTTCTAGTCATTGACGATATCTGCAAGAACTAACACGTGTGCTCAAGAACTTACGTCAATCCATTGTTCTTGGGGGTACATTTAGGCCTTATCCAACTCTTTACGCATCGACGTCACCCCTACAGCTAGGGGTGGAGATAACTCGATGACTGGATCTAGAACCGCTGTTAGATAACTACTTTTTAGATCGTTTCTTCTCATTTAGACCGTCTCTTTAACTTTTTCAACATGATCTGCATATTTTTTGTATTTATTGATTTTATAATTGTATGCTTTTATTCCTATTTCTAAGATATCTTCTATCTTTTCGGAGTAAATGAAGCTTCTTATAATAATTTCAGTTCAGTAAAGTTCAAAAAGAATACTCACCTTTTTCCAGATCGGCGGATCCCGCCTCCTACCAGTACGCTGGATGTCCCCTGAAAGCGTGGTCTACGGAAGATTCACTCTGGAATCCGACATATGGTCTTTCGGCGTGGTCCTCTGGGAGATCTACAGCTTCGGAAAGCAACCCTATTATGGCCACACCAACGAGGAAGTGGTGAAACTCGTCCTCGACGGTATCATGCTCATCCCTCCAGAAGACTGTCCCACGCTGATTTGCGACTTGATGAAGAACTGCTGGAAATCGGAACCAAGGCATCGAATAGTATTTCCGACCATATGCGATCGACTGGAAGCGGCCTACGAAAACGAAAAGAAACTCGCCGAATTTTCCTACGAAACTGAAACCAAGATGAAACCTGGAGGTAACAAGAGCTTGCCTAGGCCGCCTCCTCTACCGGTGCTAGGTCAGTTTGATCTGCTCGACACGCAAGGATATTTGATACCCAACGAAATTAAAGAACCCGCCAAGTATTTAGAGACGATATGCGACTGACAAGAAGGTACGAAACTACAGCTTTTCAATATAGAAGGCAGTGGTGCGGGAAGTTTGTGGCGCAGTACGTTAACTGTTGATTCCCAACTATGAATCGGTGTATATAAAGTCTAGTTTAATGTTATTTTTCCATAAATTTCCAATGGACTGAGCACGATGGTAGGTTGAAAGGTATGGGTGGTTGACGGTTATTGTTCATGTCATCTTAGGGGTTCCAAGACCCAGAGTTGACCCAAAAAACTTTTGAGATATTTGAGGTGAACTTGAAAGTGTTCTAAATGTATTCGAACGAATATCATATTCAGAAGTGGTGGCTATTGATGAAGAATCATTGCAATTCTCGAAATTGCAAACCTGACCTTACTGAACTCTAAAACTTGGACAAATAACACTCAATTAATGGAAATAGATTATTTTATAATGATTATTACAAATATTGTGAGTGTTGAAAAAGTTCCTCCGAAAAAATGATGTTTTTATTATTAATAACAATACCTGTGAGTTTCAAAAATTTCAGCTTTCTCGTTCTTGAATCTCGCTCTTTGAATGTTTTAGATCTTAACACGAATTTACCATTGTCGTTCGAAATTCATATAATTAGTGATGTTTAAAAAATAACAGATGCAAATTCTTCTAAAAATGTTTATATAACTGAAATATTAATTATATCAAGTCGGCGCTATCACAAAATATTTCGTGTAAAAAACGTGCGTTCACAAACGATGCTTCAAAATTGGCGACAACTGATGCATTTAGTCCCATACATATCATTTTCAACTCTTTTCATTAATTCCATAGTAGATATCGAAGAACATTGTTACTTTTTGCCATCGATATGAAAAAAATATTTATCTATGATAATTACACAATTTTCCCAAACATTCTAATTTCTAGACGCGTTTCGCTAAGAAGTTAGCTTCCTCGGTAGCTTCCTTGCGAGCTACGGTATAATGTCTTTGCGAGCAGCTATTTTTCTATCCACGAGTTCTGAAATGAATAACGGTTGTGTATAGTACACTTCAGATGTCACGTATTCCCTAAAACTTCTAGATACGTCATATCAGGTGATCTAGTGGGACCTTCTGAGACGTAACGTTTGCCTGTCTATCGGGTTGGAGAGTTTTCAACTAATATTAGGTTTCGGCAAAATGAAGTGCTTCTTCATTACGACGAGCTGGTTTGAAAGTGGCTAGATATCAGTTATCCAAACCTGTGGATAGGTAAACGTGATCTCTTAGAATGGCGCTCTGCATTACCTGATATGACACCTTTAGATTTCTATCAGAATCATTCTCAGGGAGTGAATGGTGACCAATTTGAACATTTACTGGAATGAACTGCAGTGACTTTAAAGTACATTTTTCCTTAAAATCATAATATTTATTTATCGTTCGTCCTTAAAACTAGTATAGAACTGCTAATTACTCAGGAAGGTCTAATTTGATTTTCTAAAATTTAAAAAAATGGATAGAGAATTGAAATATCTATCAAACGAGTTATTACAGGATTTCCTTTCTATTTAAAAAAAAAATGTTAGAGCGCATTGGCGACGAGAGATACAACACTATTATAAATGTTGTCCAACCTTGATATATTTGAACGATATGTTCTAGTATCCAGTTTGTAAATAGAAAAAACTTAGAGTGTGGATGAGAGTGAAAACAAAAATTGCATTTATAATATACTTCGTTATTCTGTGAAAGTTACATTGGGGAAACATCGAAATTATTTAAAGTGCGCAAAAATGAACATCGAGATCACATCAGAAATAAACAATTGGGTCCAAATTGTCACAAAACGTTTTGAAATTCTATGGTGATCATAAGATGATCTCCAATGAAACCAAATTTCAATATATAAGTTTGTTGTTGGAGTAAAACTAGTGTTGTGACTAGTAGAGGGAGTTGAAAATTTCGAAATTCCATAGTGTTGATCATGGCGCTCCAGATGTGTTCCATCAACTCCGGAAAAAATTCCAGTGTGGCAAATCTCTATCGAGAAAACAATATTGATAATGATTACAAAAAGTTATCATCCTTGGCAGAAGTGATGTTCTGCTCGATTCGTTAATCTAATGATTACTCATTCCCGATGAGTGATAAATGGGTCCGAGATTCATATGCCCTGAGCAATGAGCCAAAGATGTCAGACTCTTGCATTTGCTCGGTCAATCTCAGTTCATTGAGAACGTTCCAATTGTGTTTTGAATTCAATAATTTCGAACGGCTCAATTTTTCAACACCCTTCCTCTGCCACCCTCGATTTGCGGAATCAAAAATAACACACACATACCATTATAAAACTTTAATTTTTTACCCCCGTTAATCCATCGTATTAGGTACTCCAAACTAATTAGGGTTGTATGATATTTCAATGAAAGGCTCATTGTGACAAATAAATTTCCCAAAAACATCTCACATCCGTTTTACGAATGGTACAATATGGCGGACACCAACGAATGAATCTGACAAAAAAATTAACCTCTCTCATACACACACACACTAGTGAGAGTTATTCTTTTAGTGATGCTTAATTTCCAATAAACATTACCTGTTTATAATAGAGAATTATACATATCAAATTCTACTGGAATTTCAGAAACTATGTGGATTATAATGCTCCCAAGCGACTCCCAAGATCTTTGTTGCAGCGACCTCTTACAGCCATAGGATATTTTGAGGTATCCATTTAGTGAATATACATGGGTTCTACTTCAAAATTTATCAATTTTTTCACACTGAAATTTTAGACGTCAAACTGACAATTAACTAATCGTTTTTTAACCCTCAGTTATTCTAGAAATTCTACAACTTCAATCTAAGTTGAAAAACCACAGCCCAAACATAACACATTTGTGATCCAACACCAGTCAGAGCTGTTTTGACATGCCAGGGTCTCATCTGTGATGATAGGCTGAACCACAAATGCGTTGCTGGACAAAACGATGGCGATGACATCTGCCCTAACGAAAACGCCATCTGGCGACAACTAAAACTCGTCTGCGGTCGATGTCGAAGCTTTACAACTGACTGCCTTGGGGAACCCCGTTTATCTTTGATATTTGAGGATTGAGTTCTCTGTCGATCCCATAAATGGCGACCTCGTAAATGGAAATGCCATCGCCTTCGTTTAAGTTCGATCCAACTACAGTTTTTGGTGTGGAAGCTATTTTTCGAGTTTGTTGGATGTAGTCTGCAGGTTTTTATATCTGACGTTTTTTCTACCGCTGCGGTAGACATCATCAAAAGCGATGAGGCAGATACTACATCGTTGCATAAGGTCTCCAGTATTATTCCAATGGTGGTGGACGTGAATTTGTTCCTACTAGAACCGGAAGGAAGAACGAATTAACATAAATTTCGTTTGGATACTTGTATTAATTTAATAACCAATGGGAACGAAGCTAGCCCAACACTAATGGTATGAAACGGGAGATTCGAACTAACGATGTAGTTGTGAAGATAATTAAAGCACATCATTCATCGCCTCAATAATGTCTACCTCAGTCGAAGATGAAACTCCAGGGATAAAACTTTGCAGTTCACAGTCAACGAATCCGGAAAATAGCTTTGACACAGTTACCTCCAGCCGTGAAAGTTTACGCTTCTTGGATAATTCCCCTTTTCAAAGTTGTATGTTCGATAGTTGATATTGAAGTGGATTCCAATGTGATTTCATCATATTTTACCTCAAATTAAGGTCTACATTGTGAATTATGAAGCTGCACGAACAGGATGTAAGGATATTGAGTTTGCTTTGGACCCTTAACGGAGTATCGCCCTCATCTGTCCTTTATAACCTATAACCTATAACTAACTAACTAACCTATAACTAACTCAGAGCATGGATCTACTCGGAAAAGAGGAATTCAATACGACAGGGTGTACTTTGATGACTTCTCCGACTACAATCAGACCAGTAAATTCTCTTTGTCAGGAAACTTCGAAGACCTTTAGAAATTTTCAATGGAGAAATATACAGAGAGATGAATTTTGTCACATTCACTATCTCATTAACCTATAGAAAATTGATAATTAGTGTACTATGGAAACAGTTCAGTATTTCAAAACGACATTGATTTCTATAAAAGTAGTATTTCTACTATTCATTCGATATGTGGGAATCTTGGCAACTTCTATGAAATTCAGGGAGTTTTGAATGAATTCAGGTCAGGGAAAAAAAGTTCTTGAACTATATCAAAGGATATTTCCTTTTGGCACTCTAAGCACCTTACAATATAAATTAATGAATGCTGCATTATTTAATCATTTTGTTGTTAACAGTCAAATTCTCTTTGGTTGTGATTTTGTTCTTAGTTATCAACATTAAAGAAGACTTTTCATAATTCAAACTCAATTTATGATAATTTCACCAAGAGGTTAGCAATATAATGTTATTTTTTATGTTATTGTAAACTTCTTTAGTATCACTAGAAAAGTAAAGCAATGATGTGTCATCCGCGTATAACTCAATATTTCCTTTCAACAATAATTTTGAAACAGAAATTATGTAAATCAAAAATAAAACTGGACCCAAAATGGAACCTTGTGGAACACCACAGGTGATAGTTTTCAATGAACTGGCATTTTTCCTTACACACAAACTGTTTACTGTTAGATAAATAATTTTTAAACCATCTCTGAATAATTCCTCGAATACCAATACTATTAATTTTTTTAATAAAATATTATGATTCACTGTGTCAAATGCCTTTCGCAAATCGAGAGATAATGGACCACATTTCATATCTCTATCTAATTTTTGTTGAATATTAGAAATGACATCCATTACTGCAGACTCAGTATCACTCGATCTGCGAAAGCCATATTGACCTGAATATAAATAATTTATTGACTCTAAATAATCTATCAACCTATTATTCATAACCTTTTCAATAATTTTTGAAAATACAGGGAGAACCGAAATGGGCAATAATTATTCATATCACTTTTGGTATATATTCATATCACTATAGCAATTAAAAACAGATTCACTGTATTTCTTGAAAGGTACATGAATTTCGAAGGAAAATCAAGTTTTTGCCCTATTCTATGAAAATAATTCTGACCATTTCAAACTGTGAAAACGGTTTTTTATACACAATACTCTAATTGAACAAGTCATTTTTGTGAAAAAAATCTAAGTTTTACATTGACCTCTTTTGTGAAGTTTCATCTTCAACAATCTGAAAAAAATTGATGTCAATTGTAATGGAGAGCTTCATAAAGGTTTAGAAAAGCCCAAACTTCTAGTTCATCCTGATAGGTTCAAGGTGAATTCCATAGATTACTCACAAAGAAAAATATACCGCTTATCAGTAACGTGTCATAATACATTTTCTAATCAAAAAAATACTGAGAATTTCATACTTATCCTAACGTTTCGGACACCAAAATCCGTCTACGTCTTCTTTTGAAATTTCGTCTTATGTATACCTATTGAAATGTGTCAAGTTTTTGATTGACTCTTTGAAACATTCGATGTAGTACAAGATGTCCTCTGTTGCTGCTAATTTGTGTATTTCATATCTTTCTTTCAAACGGTTAGCCATGTCAAGCCAGATTTTTTTAAACAGATTTCTTAAGAGCTATTCAAAATACGATTTTCTCCTGATATAAGAATGTATGAATACTGATTCTTTGTGTTTAAGCCGCTCAGCGTGTGGTTTCTTTGCGATCATTCTCGTCTTATTGCAATCCTTTCGATGTTCACCATAGGATGTCCAAACGTGTTCTGATAATTTTGATCCTCTTCGTTGTCTATTTTCAATGCGATCTCGATGTTTATTAGTAGATATGCTATGAGAGAACTAGGCAATATAATAAAAATGACATGATGACACTGCTTTTTTTCTTACTGTTCTTACTGAGATTCACATGAAAAAGGGTCCTAATTCTCTCATAGCATCTACTTTCATTCTCGCGCCTTCTAATGGCTTTAATGTTTCACCGAAATAACTCTTACCAAGAACAAGGTATGTTAAAAATTGCAATTTTTGTTGTTTATGGGTTATATTTGTGTGAATATAAATCTCATATGTGTTGTCAATTGAAATATTACATTTTGAAATTGTATGTCACCAACATTAGGATTTGTCAATGTTATGACCATAATTATAGTATATCAACTAATTTTCAAACATTTTTTTAATCAGTTATGGAAGTTAATTTTCATTTTGAAAACGAAACAGCTGAAACCTTTAGAATTCACAGGTTATTAGTCTTAGCGAAATTAATTCATGTTTCACCGATACTGCTGATCAGCTTATTCAGAATTTATTTTTACAAGCAATAGCTTATTTTAGTAAGAATAATATCACATGAAGATCCTGGAAAGCCGAATTTTGTATCGACAATCAGGGTAATTTCTGAATAGTTTTCAAAAAACGATACAGAAATGAAATGAAGTTGAAAAATCTCTCTAAAAAACGGTTTCCAATGGAACGTCGAATATAAATGAGGTGTAAATAGGATTCATTCATCACCGTGTGGGTTGAAACCCATGTATTCTATATAGTCTTCTGTGTTATTCTCTATATAGTCTACTTCAACAAACAAATAGCGTTTCTTCTGTGCTTAAGATTTACCTGGAGCCAACAGGGTTGAAAAAATTTCATGCTCAAGGACGTAATCTTCAGGAATTTTTCATCTCAAAATCTGACCCAATAGGAGGAGTAGTCCTACACAGGTTTACGTTTTGAATGTGTTCACTTGTTTTTTAAATGTGAGATAGAGCGGGGCTTTAAAGTTCGCAAATGAAAAGGTCCACAGTGTATAACTCAGCTTATACAAATTTGATATATTAGAATTAGGAATTTCTTGTAATTATATGGGTATTATAGTTGATATCAATCTACCAATGGAGTTAGGAAGTCCATTGTTGAACCAATGGTTCCGGTTTGATATGTTTGAACATGGCCAAACACTGCTCAGAATCATCAAGACGTTCTTGTTTTTGGTCAACAGTGAGCTCGTGCGGCAACAGAGCTTTCTTATAGTCAAATGATCATGCAATATAAAACCAACACGTTTTTCTAATATCTTTACAATATGTCACCTACCGCCATCTATGTTTTAGCCCATATAGGTAGTATATCAGAATGTGAAATTATAGATCATGGAAACACTTCGTACATCATCGAGTACGTTTTCTCTGGAAGCTACCAGAACTATTTTTAAGATAGAGTTTAAAAACCGCTGTATCAATTGAAACTGCTGAAAAGGATGCTCCATTAGGTTTGGAACAGCAGAAATCAGGTATCGTAACAAGGTTTTGATTTAGATTTGATTCAGAATGAGTGAGTTTATTCGGCCCCCACTGTCGACTTTGAGTGTTTATTGTGGCTTATCTCGTAAACAAACTGTTGCAAAGAGAAATAAACCTGTGAAAGAGAATATTTTTGCAGAAAAGAAACGAAAAAAGTTCGAATTTTCGAAAATGAATCATTCTGATTAGTGTGCTGTGAATCATTTGCATTCAGAATTCCTTGAGTAGAACAATTCAAATGCTTTACTTATGGAAGTTGGGCCCATATGAGATGCACTGATCAATCATATCGATATCACATGTTATGGATTTATATTAAAAATGAATTTTTGTATTGACTGTTGACTGAAAATAACATTTGCTGTCAAGACTGACATGATGTGCATTGGTTTTAAGATGAACAACAATTAAAATTGATAGACATACTTTTAGGGGAGGAAAAAAATAGTGTAATCGATTTTTATCCTGAAAAACTGTACCAATTTGATCAGTTTTTTTACTCTAGCACTGCTCCTTTATGGCCAATTAATATGGTATAAAGACCACTCGACTCGAGTGTCTATACGAGTATTGCCCTTGTCAGGTTAAACAGATGAAAGGTGATCATATCCAAATGTCAGTAGGTAATCAGAGATGAAAAAGTTCTTTACTCACTGGTATTTTACTGTTTTCCAAGGCATACATCTATAGTTATCTTGTATTATATGTAACATGGACCTATTAACTCCGCTCTATCCTAGTGTGACAGGGTGAAATAGAACGTAGTTTTGGAATACTAAATAAATATAACTGAAAGCAAATTCTCGTATTTTTGTATTCCTTAAGATTTTTACTGTTGTTAGTAGTTATACAGAAAGAATTGGCTTTTTGATATCACGGTTTTCAATTAAATAAAATTTCTCGAAAGGCCTAAAATCTATAGCATGCAACTCTACTTGTAGCATGCGTGTATTGATAGCAGTTAGCATTTAATTATAATGTGTTACAACTGTTGATAGTTATACAAAAAAAATCAATATTTTCCATATTACCATTTACAATCATTAGACATCTCTCATAAATATTGTAGGTACTATATACCCCATATCACTTAATTATTTGTGAAGATAGATTGTTTCGAATGTAAACATGTTGAAAATCCGTCATCACATCATTAGTAATGAAATGAATGTATTTCTCAATATATGAAGACGCATCCAAGATTTTTAGTGAATATGATTTACCTTCAAAAATCAATACATGGGCATTCAACGGATATCCGGTGGATAACTGCTCTGGTTATTTCGGATATACTATGGACATCCAGATTCATTATACCCATATGACCATGAGAAAGCCTTCAAAGATATTCATGATATCCATGAAGATACTCGTGAATGACCTTGAATTATATCTCATAAATTATTTATTATTTGTGTCCACAATCATTTTGAAGTTCTCTCTAAAAGATAACTGTGGATACAAATCATCAAATAGTTGGACTGAAGAGTTCAAAGGCTTACATATAGAAAAAAAATTATAAAATTTGAGTTTATTATTCAATATAGCTGCCAGAACTGCTGTTGGTTAGAAATTTGCTTGATCGGACCTTGAGAGGGGCCCAAATCCTACTGACAATTTTATAGATCAAAAACTGAGTAGTTCTCAAAATTGTATTGCTAATATATGCATAGAAATAAGTATATGTATGATGTTTAATTGTTATTATAAGAACGCCATGGATGTTTTAGTCAAATATTTGTATATAGAATAAAAGCATTGCTCTGAAATAATTTATGAAAAATATTAGGTAAACTTAAATCGATGAATATTTGTGTATATACAAAATCAGTAATGTACCCCTCTAAATGATAGATTATAAGAGACGTTATTTTTCTGTTCTGTTTTCAATATGTACAAATACAGATTGGTGTTATACGCAAATGTTCAATCATCTCATGTCGAATACGAGGTATATTTTTATTGGTATATTTTCCCTGCCATCAATTTTGCAA